GTGACTTTCAGGATCTGCTGGCCCATTTCTCAGGACATGCAGCTGACTTCATTTGGTCTTTTTTTCTCTTTTGTAGACTTTGCATAGAAAGGTCAAGCACTCTACTACATCTGTGATCACATCTCTAGCTCAGGCAGTTGGAATTTTGATAGGGACTGCACTGAACCTACAGATCTACTTGGAGGTGCTGCCATCTTAACAGTAGGTCTTCCAATTCACAAACACAGGCTCTTTCCTGTTTCTTTAGGTCTTGATCTTCTGTAATTTCATATGGTGTTTTTTAGTTCATTTTATCTCTAAACGTTTTTAGTAGAATAGGAAACCGGCAGTATAAAAGGAAGAGGAGGTAATTAGAAACATGAAGCTATTATTTATTTATTCTTTTGTGTCCATGCATAATGTGCATGCAGTGCCTGTGGAGTCTAGAAGAGGGTGTCAGATCCCCTGAACTGGAGTTATAGAAAGTTGTCAGCTGCCAGGTGAGTGCTGGGAATCGAACCTAGGTCCTCACTGGAAGAGCAGCCACTGTTTGTAACCCCTTAGCTGTCTCTCCAGCCCACTTCAGTCTAGTTCAGTCATCTGATGCTATTAGACATGAACTGCTCCTTCATTGTTTTAGACTGGCTAACTTTGAAAAATAAAGCTGCCATGAAAATCACAGTCACAAGGACCCATCGACTTCTGGAACACACAGGAGAACTGGACCTTGTCTTAGCTTAGCCTCCACATAAAAACCCAGCATCGGCCTGGTCTTGTGAGAACCTAAACAAACGACGTACTAAGTTGTCCCAGGCCTTCTGGCTCACAAATGTGTGAGACAACAGTATGTATTATTTAAAGCTGTAAGTTCTAGAATAATTTGAGTGATAAAGAAAAACACACTGGGTAGCAGTGGCACATGCCTTTAATCCCAGCACTCGGGAGGTAGAGGCAGGTGGATCTCTGTGAGTTCGAGGCCAGCCTGGTCTAGAGAGTGAGATCCAGGACAGGCAACAAAACTACACAGAAAAACCCTGTCTCGAAAAAACAAACAAACAAACAAAAACAACAAAAAGAAAAACATATAATTTATAACAAAATCTTTATATATCTAATCATATAACCCAGTCATTCTAATATTCAGAATTTGCCTAGAGAAATGGAAATACATACCCTAAATTCTTGTACATTAGTGTTTGTTAATAGCTCAAGTGGGAAGCAATTCAAATGTCCATCAGTAGGTAAATTGATAAAATGTGGTTTCATGAATAAATATCCAGGAATGAAAGGAATTAGACACACAAAGTGAGATGGATAAATCTCAAATCATTATGCTGTGATGAAGAGCTGACACAATGAGTGATCTGCTGTCTGTCACTGCAGTTTGAGTGGACGGCTGTGTAAATGGGGTGAGATGGTGCACTCTGTCTTAAGTGTTCTACTGCTGTGAAGAGACACAATGATCACAGCAACTCTTACAAAGAGAAACGTTTCACTGGGGATGCCTTACAGGTTCAGAGGTTTAGTCCATTATCGTCATGGTGGGAAACATGACAGTGTTCGGCAGGCCTGGTGCTGGAGAGGGAGCTGAGAAGGTAGCTGAGACTTCTATCTGCATCAGCAGGTGTCAGGAAGAGAGAGTGACACTGGGCCTGGCTTGAGCCTTTGAAACCTCAAACCCACCCAGTGACACACTTCTAACAAAGCCACACCTACTCCAGCAAGGCCAGTGTTCTAATCCTTTTAAATAATGTCACCCCCTATGAGCCTATGGGGTTCATTTTCATTCAAACCACTACAGTCCACTCCCTGGCCCCCTTAGGCCTGTAGCCATATCATAATACAAAACTACATTCAGTCCCACTTCAAAAGTTCCCATTCAGTCTATCACAGTCTCCATACTATTCATAGTTCAAAGTCTCTGATACTCATGGTAATCTCTTACTGTAACACCTATAAAGTCAAAATGAGAAAGCAGATCACATACTCCTAGCCTACAATGGCACAGGATATACATCACCATTCCAAAAGGAAAGAAAGGGAGCATAGTGAGGAAATACTGGACCAAAGCAAGACCGAAAACCAGCTGGGCAAACTTCGAATTTCCATGTCTGATGTCAAAGTCCTCTTCAGATCTCCAACTCCTTTCAGCTTTTTGACTGTAACACACTTCTTTCTCTTGGACTGGTTCCACTTCCTATTAGCAGCTTTCTTATGGCTTGGTATTTATAACATCTTGGGATCTCCAAGGCAATCCAGGCTTCACTTTCACAGCTTCATGCAATGGCCTAGGCCTCCATTCAGGGACACCCCTGACACATGCCTGGCCTCAGCGGCTTTCCTTAGTCGCTCCTTAACTCTAAGGCCAAAACCATGCAGCCTAAGCTGCCAAGCTCTCCTGCTTGCCTGGACTAGAATATGGTCTCCTAATTCAAATACATTTTTACTAGCTTTCTGTAGTTGATGGTTTCCTTCACTGCTTAAGCTTGGCTGTCCTAGAACTCAGAGATCCATCTGCTCTGCCTCCCAAGTGCTGAGCTTTTCTTTAATTCCTTTCCACAAACTGGAAGCTTAGCTGGGTGGGGTCTTGCTCTGAGGTCACCACTCCCTTTATTCCACTTAGCATCAGGCTTTTCTTTAATCTGTTTATACTTCCTGGAGCTCCTTTTCTTCTCACACTGTACATTTTGTATTTTTCCTTGCTTGCTCCTTTTCATTATTGATCTGCATAAGGAGGTCACTAATAACCACATGAACAGTCAATACTAGGCTGTCTGGGAATCTCCTCTGCCAAAGCTCTTAATCCACAACTCTTCAATTTAGTTTCAGGCACATTTTTTTTAGAAAGCAGCCACATACATTCTTCATCAAAATTTTACAAGAATGATCTCTAGGCCACATATAAATATTCTTCTCCTCGGAAACCTCTTGAGCCAGGCCCCCACAGTTCAAACCACCCTCAGCACCACTGTCTTCCATGTTCCTACTAGGATGGCCCGTTAAGCCCCACTGAAAGCACTCATCTGCTTTCCTAATCCAAAGTCCCAAAGTCCATATTCCTCTAAACAAAAGCATGGTCAGGCCTTTCACAGCAATACCCCAGTCCCTGGTACCGACTTCTGTCTTAGTTAGGGTTTCATTGCTGTGAAGAGATACCATGACCATGGTAACTCTTATAAAGGAAAACATTTAATTGGGGCTGGCATACAGGTTTAGAGATTTAGTCCAATATTGTCATGGCAGGAAACATGGCAGTGTGCAGGCAGACATGGTGTTGGAGAGGCAGCTAAGACTTCTACATCGGCATCAGTAGGCAGCAGGAAGAGAGTGTAACACTGTGCTTGGCTTGAGCATTTGAAACTTCAAAGCACACCCCCAGTGACATATTTTCTCTAACAAGTCTATACCTACTCCAACAAGGCCACATGTCCTAATCCTTTCAAATAATGCCACTCCCTATGAGCCTATGGGGGCCATTTTCATTCAAACCAGCACATACTCTGTCTGGCTTCTTTCAGCAGAAGCATCTTTTGGTAATAGATGCAACACATAACAACAGAAGGGAAGGTTTATAAAGAGTATCAATTATTGGGAGTGATGGATGTTCACTGTACTGACTGTAGTGAAGGCTTCATGTATGTACATAGAATAGGACTTACCAAATTTTACACTGATGTGAAGTATCTCTGTGTTAATTACTCTTCACTGTGACAGTCTAAGAAGCACATGCCACTTACATGGTTTTTCTCACAGATATGTTGGAGGAGAAAGTACGAGCTCTATCTGATGACCAGAGATGAGGCCTCATTATGGCCCCACCCATTCTCAGATATTCACTAAGTTCTCTGCCAGTTTCTCTCTGAAACGCCACCATTAATCAGACTCACTTTGATATAATATACAAAGCATATTTGGTATCTACCTATAGTTTCTGGCATACAGCTCCTAAAACCTTGGAATCTTCAAAGCAGCAGTGTCTTTCTGAGAAGATGGCTGGCGGCTGGGAGAGTCTGAATAATTTCAGGATGGGTGTGAGGGGGAGCAATAACTGTCAGGGGAACCAAACTGTGACCATGTTTGAAGTTTTAGCCACACTCTTGACTTTTGTGAAGAGAGGAGCTGAGGCTTGAGTTCACTATCAATGGCCCATTACTTCACCAGTCCTGCTTACACAATGAGGACTTCATGAAAACCCAAACAAACGTCTTCTTCAGAAGACCTTCCCAACTACTCAGAACTTGAAGGTGCTTGGAGGGCGGTGTGGCTACGCCCTTCCCTCCTCCTACACTGTCCTATGCATCTCTTATTGGGCTGTTCATCCACATTCTTTGTAGTAATCTTCCTAAGCCAGCAAGCCTAAGTCTCTCCCTGAGTCCTGTGCACCATTTTAGTAAATTCATCAAACCTACGGAAGGAGGAGTCTCATGAATTCGAATTTTGGGATAGAAGTACAGGTCACAACCTGAGGCTTCAAAGTGTCACATGAGGTATGAGGTGGGATAGGCTGTGGAACTGACCCCTTGTGGAATATAAAGCTACCTTCCAGGTAGTGTAAGAATTCAAGCACAGCACACTCAGATGGTGTGTGAGACTCTATGGCAGAATCTATTAAGTATGTGTGGAAATACTCCTACACATTTGGTGTCAGAAGTGTTGTGATGTGTGTGGGAAGATAAGAAAAACATTGGTTTCTGCCATCTCTCATACCCAGGAACTGTACTAATAAAGCATATAGCCTTGACTTCTTAGAGTCAGACCTGGTAGCACAGGCCTGTAATACCAGCAACTTGAGAGGCTGAAGCAAGAGGATCACAAGTTCAAGGCCTGTCTGGGTAACTCAGTGAGACCCTGTCTCAAAATTAAAAATAAAAAAGGGCTGTGTTGTAACTTGGTGGTAGTGTTTGCCTAGCACACACAGGGTCCTGGGTTTGGCCAGCACCACAGTCACACACAGAAAGACTGACTGGGATTTGTAAATCATAAATAATTATTTTTCACATTGGTTTCATTAGGATCCTTACCAGAAGCAAATCCCTCCCAGTGACTACGTGTCAACTGCTCCATACAGCCCACAACCTTGCTCCACACGTTGTCAAAAACATAAGCAAGGACATCCTCTTTCATGCAGTAAAATGGAGCAATGGGAGGGTACCCTAATTTCTGTTTCTCTGTAGCTGCTTCTGATTTGTTTCCATGAAATCCCTCTTCCCTGGAATAGAAGCAAGAGGGAAAGATTTCATGATTATTCTTCCCTGAGCCCCACCATCCATTTCCTTTATACTCAGAAGTGTGCATGGTGTGCCCGCTCCACCCTCCTCTGCACCCAGCAAATGGAGGACCTGAAGCTGCCTTGGGAAGTAAAGGAGTTCTCAGTAGAAGAGACTGGATTCCTTCTTTTACCAACACCCTGTCTTAGTGCCCCACAAAAGGAAGGTGGGGACTGAAATAGAGCGGAAGTCCTCTGGGGTTCTTCTGGAGACTCTATGCCTATAAGCAGGAATTCCCAGGGAGCCAACCTATCTGCTTCTCTAAGGGAACTACCAATACCTGGGGCTGGGGCTGACACTGTGTGCATTTACCATAGACTAGTGGTTCTCAACCTGTGGCTCCAGCCGCATATCAGATATTTATATTACGATTCATAACAGTAGCAAAATTAGTTATTAAGTAGTAACAAGATAATTTTGTTGCTTTTTTTTTTTTTTTTTTGGTTTTTCAAGACAGGGTTTCCCTGTGTAGCTTTGCGCCTTTCCTGGAACTCACTTGGTAGCCCAGGCTGGCCTCGAACTCACAGAGATCCGCCTGGCTCTGCCTCCCAAGTGCTGGGATTAAAGGCGTGCGCCACCACCGCCCTGCTTTGTTTTTTTAAGACAGGGTTTCTCTGTGTAGTTTTGGCTGTCCTGGAACTCACTCTGTAGGCCAGACTGGTTTGAACTCACAGATATTCTCCTGCCTCTGCCTCCTGAGTGCTGGGATTAAAGGTGTGTACCACCACTGCCTGGCGCAACAAAATAATTTTATGGTTGGGGTCACCACAACATGAGAAACTGTATTAAAGGGAAGTTGAAACTGTATTGGGGAAGTTGAGAACCGCTCCCATAGACTATTATAAAGTAGGACAAAGCAAGTTCAGGAAGTGGCTGAGGAATGGAAGAACTATCCCAGGTTCCTACAGTGAGACTGTTCTCAGGCAGCAGGATCCCCAGAACAAAACAGGCAGGAAAGAGGTCATGCAGGGCAGCTACCTGAGGAAGAACTAGCTTGGCATTAGTAGCAGGCTAAGAGGATCAGAACGATTGTGCTGAACTATATTTACTTTCTTTAATTTTGAAATGTTATTTTTGAGGTAGGGTCTTGCTATGTAGCCCTGACTGGCTAGAACTCACTATGTAGACCAGGCTGTTTTTCAGTTTGTTGTGATCACACTTGCTCCTGCCCCTCAAATGCTGGGACTGTAGGCATGTGCCATCATTTGATGAAAAAAATCAAACTGTATAGAAGGGCTCATAGTGAAAGGATGTCTCCTACATCTCTGATTCCTGGTCCCCATCACCAGAAACAAAGACTCTATACTGTTCCAGAGAACTAATCACATTACGTGTTACACTGTACCTCATTCTTTATTTACCAGTACATTTGGAACTGTTCTATCAGTACAGAGCAGCCTGTCTCTTAGAGAACCGTTGGAGAATTTCAGCAGCTGCACCCATGTATCCAACTAGCCAGGCTTTTGACTATGGTAGGTACTGTAATTGTTAAACAGTGTTTCATCTCATAGGTGATTACATCTGTAGAATAGATTCCTGTAAATACAATTAGTGAGGTAAAGGGCATCTGCTTTGCAACTTGAAAGATAAGGTCCACCACCCTCTCAAGAGGTTCTATGGTCAACAGTGAAGAAGATGCCTTTCATGTATTCCCTTGAGGTCCTCTCATCCTGATGGAGATCACAGCATCTCATTATGGGTGGAAATTTTATCTCTAATGGAAACACAGTTGAATTTAAAATGTTTGTTCTGTTCATAAGAACTTTCTGTTCATGTCCTTTTCCTGTTTAGTCCTTAGTCTTTTCCTCATTGATGGATGCATTAAACAAATTAATTCTATGAATGTAGTACACATATTTTTGCCTAGCTTTTTGACTGTTTCTTTATCCTATGCAGAAATGCCATCTAACATCATCATTGAAAACTTCTTATATGATTCGTAGATTTTGTATTAGGTTAAAAATGCTTTTGAGGCCTAGAGTGGCGGCATATGCCTTTAGTTCCAGCAGAATCTTGAAGGCAGAATCAGGATTGAGGCCAGCATGGTCCGCATGTCAAGTTCCAGGTCAGGCCGGGCTATCTAGTGAGCCCTTGTCTCAGAAAACACAAACAACAACAACCCTATTTTAAAAAAAAGTCTTCTACATCTGCTTTCTAGGCCTACACAATTTGATCTGTCATGTGCACATCTTTATTTACAAAATTTAAGTTGACTTTTTCTAGAAAGAATAAGTTAGGAATGTTACTTTTTCCTGGTTTTTCTACTTGCACAAAAGTCATTTGCTTAAGTTATCATATGCGCATTTCCCGAGGGCGTTTTCACTTATTTTATGACCTTCAATATTTTCAGTTAGGAACACTTCTTTTCTGTGGTATTGGAGTTTCCGCCCATGAAGGATCTTCTGCATGCTGGGCAAGTGCTCTACCACTGAGTTACAGCTCTGCTTTTAACTTTTTATTTTGAAGCAATGTCTCAACAGGTTGTATAAGCTGGCCTGATCTCACTTTGTAGCCCAGGCTGGCTTTGAACTTGTGACTCTCCTTGCCTCAGCCTCCTGAATAACTGTGATTACAGGCCTGTCCTGTAGGCCCAGCTTTAGTTAGGATCATCCTAAAGGCCCAACTACTGTGTGTGTGTCACTTTATAAGAAGGTATTTTGGTAGTATCTCTAATATGGCTGCCTTTTGAAATCTTGCCCATACTCCCTGAAAATTCACTTGGGTTTACTCTCATCGGAAAAAGGGGAAGGTGCCCTAGGAGCACACATCAGCCATTTGTATCACATTTTAAGTTAGTTCAGTCAACTTCATTCTTCATAACTTAAGAAGAAGGACCAAAGGGGAGGACTTCTGATGTGAGAAAAACAAGCCAGAAGAAGCAGATGGCAAAGGCTAGGGAAAGAGTCTCTAGAAAATCAAAAGGCACTTCCTCCAAATTCCTTCCACCATGGAGCTAGCTCGGTGTATTTGATACAGAAGTCTGTCTGTCTGCTGCCTGCAGGGCTGTGTGCACACAAGTGAACACAAGAATGAACGTGGCAGGGGAAACACCACCACAAGAAGAAGTCTGGAATCACATGACACAATAACCAGCTCCAACCACACAGCCACACGGTACTGGTACCTCCAGTGTGCTGTTATGACTACTGGTTCTAGAACTTTTCTTCTCTTTAAAACAAGGGCGCGCCGGGCGGTGGTGGCGCACGCCTTTAATCCCAGCACTCGGGAGGCAGAGCCAGGCGGATCTCTGTGAGTTCGAGGCCAGCCTGGTCTCCAAAGTGAGTTCCAGGAAAGGCGCAAAGCTACACAGAGAAACCCTGTCTCGAAAAAGAAAAAAAAAAAACAAAAAAAAAAACAAAAAACAAGGGCGCATTCCCCATTAATCAGTTTTTTTTGTGAGTGATGTATGTGAGTGTGGGTGTCTGCATGCCATGGGCCACATGCAGAGGTCAGAGGTCAGCCTTGGGTGTCAGTCATTCCTTCCACCTGTTTGAGATGGGCTTTCTCTTGTCCACTGGCAGGTATGCCATGCTAACTGGTCCAGCGGCTTCTGGAGTCTCTCATCTCCACCTCTCAACTCCTGTACCAGTTCTGGACTGACAGCATCTGCGCTAACATGCAGTTAGCCATGTGGATTCTAGAGATCTGCACGCAACTTGTCAGGCTTCTCTCACAAGCACTCTATCCACAGAGCTAGCTCCGGAGCCCTAGTTATTTATTTTTGAGACAGGCTTTTACATTACCCATGCTGCCTTAAGCTTTCTCTGTAGCTGAGGATGGCACCTCTGATTCTCCTCACCACCTCCTGAATGCTGGGGTTACAGCAGGAGCCACCATTCCTAGTTTATGCAGTGCTGGGGACTGAAGCCAGAGTTGTGTGCTTGTTGTGAAGACATCCTACCAACTGAGCTACATCCCCCATAATTCTAGAACTTTTAAAGACTTAGAAAAATAGTTTACATTTCAGAGAGGTAGCATGCAATATGATGAGATTACTGATTTAGAATCTGATGAATAAGGTTTTGGTTTTAACTTTACCTCAGATAAATTACTTAAGCACTCTGGTTCTCATCTATTCCTTGTATAGGTAATACCTGTTATATGACTGCTGTCAGAATATAAGTGGATATAAATACACATTATTAATTGTATAAACTATATGTATCCTTTTAAAATAAGAATTAGATAGGCATGGTGGCACACACCTTAATTCCTAGCATGTGGGAAGCAGAGGCAGGCAGATTTCTATAAGTTTGAGGGCAGTCAAGGCTACAAAGTGAGACCCTGTCTTAAAACAACAATAACAAAAATAAAGCAAGAAAGTTTATTTTAAATAAACAATGTTTCACATCTCTTCAACTACTCTTTGAAGTTTCAGTTTCCACTGGTGATAATTTGTAAAACAATAAAACAATAAAATCAAATTATGTAGAGAAAATTAGTCATTTAAAAATCTCTGATCTCGAGCCAGGAGGTGATGACACCTGCCTTTAATCCCAGCACTCGGGAGGCAGAGGCAGGTGGATCTCTGTGAGTTTGAGGCCAGCCTGGTCCACAGAGTGAGTTCCAGGACAGGCTCCAAAGCTACACAGAGAAACCCTGTCTTGAAAAACAAAAAAACAAACAAACAAACAAACAAAAAAACAAAAAGAAGAAGAAGAAGAAAAAAGAAATCTCTGATCTCAGGAAAAGGCAAAACATAAGTGGAGAAGGAAGCTACAGAGGGAAGCCTGGTGTGCGGCAGCAAAAGGACATGAGCTCTGCATGCTGGAGCTACTGAAAACAGACCTCCGACTGTACAAACATGCTTCCAGGTGATACCATAGTACAGTCAAGAAAGTAGATGCTGATATACAAAACAGAGTGAGAATCTTCAAAGACAGTACTCACATATCCGTGTGGTCGAAAGCTAGGTACTCCTCAATTATTCCTTCAGAAAAGATTATACAGTCCACCTCTTCCCCTTCCACAGCAGACAAGCCAGAGGGTTTACTGGTGAGAGATGCTTTATGAGCATAAGAAGATGAAAAATGTAACTTCTTTCCTCTTATACCAAATCTGGGAGAGGGAAGAGAAAGCAGTATTAACACATATTAACACAAAGAGCTCTTACACGGCAAGTAACTTAACTCTTGGAACAGCCCCTCTTTGTCCTGCCAATACTTTCCTGAACTATTCTGAGTCCTTTTTTTCCCTCAAGTGCTGGGGGATTGCACTCAGTACCTTGGTCAAGCTAGGTGATACTGCCTGGCTCTGATTTGCATTTCTCTTCTGATGCTAACGCTGAGCATATTTTCATACACTTCACAGCCATTCACACACTTTTTTTTTTTTTGATTTTTCGAGACAGGGTTTCTCTGTGTAGCTTTGCGCCTGTCCTGGAACTCACTTGGTAGCCCAGGCTGGCCTCGAACTCACAGAGATCCGCCTGGCTCTGCCTCCCGAGTGCTGGGATTAAAGGCGTGCGCCACCACCGCCCGGCATTCACACACTTTTAGAGAAACCATCTATTCACGTCCTCTGTCCATTTTCAGTTAGGCTGTTTTTTATTTTTGAATTGTAGAAATTCCTTACCTTCTGATTACTAACCCTTATTAGACAGATGATTTGTGAACACTTTATACTACTAAATATATTTTCCTTCCTTTGATTATTTGTACACAGAAATTTGGCTATTTTTTGCTTTTGCCTATGACATTACATCCTAGAAATCACGGTGAACCCCACGTCCTGGAAGCATCCCCTGTGTTTCACTATACGGTTGTTTTGTGTAAACCATGGTAGTGGCTGACTTCCTTAACCAGGAGGTGGAATCTAGCTTCCCAATAGCATGTTCCCAAAAGTATCTGTTGAAATATGTATTTAAGATAAACATAGTGGCGCACGCCTTTAGTCCCAGCACTTAGGAGGCAGAGACAGGGAGATCTCTGTGAGTTTGAGGATATCCTGGTCTACACAGTGAGTTCCAGGCTAGTCAGGGCTACAAAGTGAAACCTTGCCTAGACACAGCCCTTAAATTACCCCGAAGTAGAAGAATTATCTCTGCAAACTCAACTTTTCATGTTCTCTAATGGACCGTGCTTCTGCAGCATGACACCATCTTCTGATACTTTCACTCCCTGGACGACCGTTTTGACCTACACACTACTGTTTGACACCATGACCTCAATTTATAGCTTAGTCTGCTTTTCTGTGTCCTTTGTAAATATGTTTTGCCCTTGTTTAGATTAGGAAGTTGAAGAATGTAAATGGTATCACAGGCACCGTGCTGGGTGTCAGTCAGACACACAAACGGTTACTGAATGCTTATGTGTGGCTTCCTTCCAGTCCAAGAACACATCCAGAACAGAGAGTGGACCAGCCCCATTTAGTGCATTTACAAAATGAAGGACAGCTGACATGGGAGGACTGCTGAATGACAGACAAGAAAAGTGACAGATAAAGCAGAGCTGTAGGCAGGGCCAGCTTATAATTTTATATTTTATCTAAAAGGCAATGGGAATCTACCAGAAGTTTTTTTCAATGCAATGTGGCAAATTGATAGGATTTTTGTAGAGAATCTTAGTGGTTGATAAACCTTATTTTATGGCAACCTGGTATGTTAAACTAAAACACTTTTACTTAGGACACACTTTCCTGATAGAACAAAAAGTGGCCAACAGCAGCCCCAGCACACACGTCTGAGGACTTGGCTTTACTCTTCTGTGCCATCATCCCCCAGAGGAGCCATCCCCGAGCATGAGGAGACTGAAGTCTGACATCAGAAACACTTACATGGTAGACTCTCTCTCCTGAGACAAGGTTGCTTCCTGAGAAGCTGACACAGCAGAAGGTGATCTGGGGTACAGTCCATAGCCTTCACTCGGAGTGACTATCTGCCGACCTAGAATCCTTCCAAAGAACAGACACAGTGAAGAACCTTCACCTGGCATGCATGCAAAATCTGAGCACTTCAGCAACAAATCTGACGGATCTATGTAGAAATCCTACAAATTCAGTCAGATATTGATTGAGAATGACTTCTGAGAGGAAATGTGAATTCTTACTCAGCTATATCTCCCTTTAATAGAACCTATATAGAAAAGACAAAGCTATCGCCCAGGAGTTTAAAGAAAAGTCCAAGGGAAGTTAGGGATGTAGCTCAGTGGTAGAACACTCATTAGACTGCAAGGATCTGGGTTCAATCGCCAGCACATGCTGCACACTCTCCTCCCCACCCCCAGGAGAGGATGAAGGCCTAGCCAAATTAGTAAGAACTATGAATCATGTTCTTTCCTTTAAAATTATTTACTTAATATGCATTGGTGTTTTGTCTGCATGTATGCCTACGTAAGGGTATTGGATCCCCTGGAACTGGAGTTATAGACAGTTGTGAGCTGCCATGTGGGTGCTGGGAATTGAACCAGAGTCAAGCAGCCAGTGCTCCTAATTGCTGAGCTACCTCTCTAGCCCATGAATCATATTCTTTTTTTTTTAACCACTAAAATATTTTAATTGATATTTATACTTATGGGTATTTTTATAACTAATGTAATATTTAAATACTTTCTTTTTTATCAATCATATTCTTAATAATATTAAACGGAAATTTAAATACATGCAGTAGTGGGACTATTGTGGTTTCTCAGGGAACAGTATGTGTGTCCTTTCAAGTACATGAGAATTACTTGTAGACAATGGTATAAACAAAACATTTTCTGACCATTTTGTTTAAAAGAAAGGTTTTCTGGAATGCACTGAGATTCGGAAGCCAGTTACTGATACAGATATTTTACCCGGCTTGTGACGTGATGGCTCATGTCTGCAATCCCAGGCCCTTGGAGGTGAAGGGTAGGGAGGATCAGAAGTTCAAGATTGTCAGCTCACATGCAAAGTTCAATGCCTGGGGCTGGAGAGATGGCTCAGGGGTTAAAAGCACTTTCTGCTCTTGTAGAGGACCAGGTTCAGTTTCCAACATCTACACAGCAGATCACAACTGTTTTTAACTCTAGTTCCAGGAGCTCTGACCTCCAAGGGCACCAGGCATATGTGCAGTACATATAAATACATGTAGGCAAAACACTCATAACATACAAGGAAAAACATTTTTTTGAGACAAGGTCTCATTAAGTAGCTCTGGCTGTCCTGGAACTCACTCTGTAGACCAGGCTGACCTCAAACTCAGTGATCCACCTGCCTCTGCCTCTGAGTGCTGGGACTGAAGGCATGCACAACCATGCCCAGCCAAGAAAAAATATTTAAAAAAAAAAGAAAGTTCAAGGCCGACCTGGGCTATCTGAACCCTTGTCTCACACAGCACATTTAAGAAGGTTTTACTGCTAGCTGGGTGTGCTGGCACACACACCAAGGAGGCAGAGGCAGCAGCAGATAAATGAGTTCAAGGCCAGCCTGGTCTACATATGAGGCCTGGTCTCAAAAAAATAAAAAAAAGTTTGCTTAGTTAGAATGACATGTTGGCATGTTGGTGATTAGGATAAGTCCAAAAACACACTATGAACTTGAGTTTTCTTTCAGCTGAGGCTTTACACAACATGGCTGTAGATAATTTCATCAAAATCATGTACATTAAAAGAAAGAAAGGAAAAAAACCATGCTCAGGCCAGGTAAACCTTTAAATCCCAGCACTCTGGAGACGGGTAGGTGGATCTCTGAGTCAAGCCCAGTTTGGTGTACATAGTGAGTTCCCAGCCAGCCAGGGTTTTATAGTGAGACCCTATCTCAAAAAAAAAAAAAAGAAAAATCCAAAGCTCCTAGGGTTCAGAGTTCAAGGTGTGAGAGGCCCCCAGCTGACACTGCGGCCTGCCTGGTACCTGAGGTGAGGGAAGCTGGATGCCCACTGCTGGCACTCCTTCTGCAGACTGTGTGTGTGCACACTCAGCTTCTGCTCATACAGGAGCTCGTCGATGGCCGTGAACATTGCCTGGACCTTCTCAGTGGCATTTTGGTCAAGTTCCTAGAAACAAACACCGCCCCCAAACATTTAGATGAGCTATTAAGAATGTATTTTGGTGAACTTCTATACAGTCAGATTAGCTATTCTGAACCTGTGGCGCTTTACATTTGATTTTATACCTTCACTATCAAATATATTTGTATGCACTTGAGTCATTGAGATGTATAGACTTTGTGTTGGATTAATTTTGGTGTCTGCCTTTTTTTGGCAAGTTCTTTATAATGAAGTTTAAATTTTAAAAAAAGCTGTACAATGTTCTAGAGAATGAACACCAGTGGGTAACACTGAGTTTTCTATCCATTTTAAGCCGTTCTTAATAATGCTATAATAAACATTTATTTATTTATTTATTTCAGGCCAGCAAGTTGGCTCAGTGTCTAAAGGCACTTGCTTCCAAGCCCCAGGACCCACAGGTGAAAGGACAGAACAGGCATCTACAAGTTGTCGTCTTCTTCTTTTCTTTTTTAAAGACTTATTTATTTATTTATTTATTTATTTATTTATTTATGGTTTTTCAAGACGATGTTTCTCTGTGTAGCCCTGGTGCCAGACCCCCATAACAGGAGTTACAGACAGCTGTGAGCTGCCATGTGGGTGCTGGGAATTGAACCTGGGTCCTCTGGAAGAGCAGCCAGTACTCTTAACCACTGAGCTATCTTCCCAGCCCCATACAAGCTGTCTTCCGACCTCTATTCTCTTGCCATGGCATTTGTGTCCTAACACAGACAGACAGACACAGACACAGACACAGACAGACAGACAGACAGACACACACACACACACACACACACACACACACACACACACACAAGTGCGGGGGTAGGGGGGGAATATTTTAATCTCCAGCACCGAAAAATAAAAACAATCATATTTTGCTTTGTTCATCTGAGACACTGTGTTTATATAAAAGGAAATCTAAATTAGGGAGCTTTTCACGTCTCAGATGTTTCTGTTTCTTTTTATAAGGACAACTTACAGAAATACATTTGTTTGCTTCTTTGTTTGAGATGGGGCTTCTCTGTGTAACAGTCCTAGCTGTCCTGGATCTCACTCTGTAGCCCAGGCTGGCCTTGAACTCACAGAGATCTGCCTGGCTCTGCCTCCTGAGTGCTGGAATTAAAGGTGTGTGTCACCACAAAATGAATTCTAAAAAGTCACTGTACACTAAGCACCAAGAGGAAATTGAGGGATGGGAAGGAAACGTGCACAAACTCAGAACCTAAAGATACTGATCACAGCACAACACAGTGCCGGGACTGTTTACGCAGTTCACTGGAGCCTCCTGACAAGGCATCGGATTAAGTCACCAGGAATAAAGTTTAATCCCCACCCCCCACCTACAAGGCTCCACTGACGGCGTCCTGCTCCCCTGCCCGGTCATTTCTCTTTCCTCCCCAGAGTCACCACCTTGGACCTCTTCTGCCCACCCATCTTTCCACAGTCCCAAGAACGTCTACCTTTGAAATATGAGTTTATTCTCCTCTAGTACTCTTTTAAGATTCTTTATGTGTGTGTGCCTTTGCATGCACACAGAGGAGGGCAAGCACATTAAGTTTCCTCTTCCATCACTCTGTGCCTGTTCTTGACGCAGGGTCTCTTCCTGAGTCTGGGGCTTGAGTCTCAGCTAGGCTGGAAGCCAGCAAGCCAGCCATCTTCCTGTCTTCACCCCGACCAGAGATTACAGGCATTTGAGGGGACACTCAGTTTGTTTTATGGATGTTGGGATCCAAACTCTGGTCTTGATGATATTAACCACTCAGCCACCTTGTCAGCCCCACTTTTGGGGCTCTTGCATAGGCTGCCATTTATCTGTCTGAGCTCTTTTTCTCTTCCTTCACACGATTACCTCTTCAGTCCTTAAATCTCAACCTACTACACAGCTAATGTTGGCGTCTCAAGTAATCTCCCTTTATAACAGCCTGTTTCAGTGTCCTGCTGGAGTACTCTGTCAGTACCTTACACCTTTTTTCAGTCTCCTCACTAGACTATTAGACTATGTAAGCCTCACTCCACACCTACAGCAACAGACAGATATGCTCAAAAGATTCCTTGATGAAACTAATAAAGCCTGAAAACCCAAATATTAAATACAGGGACGCTCTCATTATGATAGGTTAACACCAAGAACTATTATATATATACTATTCTAGTTGACAGAGGTGGAGGTAATACTAGTCATCACCATTAACAATGGTAAATGCCAAAAGCAGACTACAAAATAGTATGCACACACATAATAACCAAGGAAAATATACATACATGAAAAACTATTGGGAAGTGAATAATGGTAATAATAATAGGTTTAAACAATTAGGCTTCTCTGTAAAGAGAGCAGCTAACTATACTGTTTAAAATCAGTATGGTAGGGGCTGGAGAGATGGCTCAGTAGATTAAGGTGCTTGTCTCCAAAGCCTTAGATCTGAGTTCAATTCCCAGAACCTATGTAAAGATGGAATTAGAAAAACATCTTCACAAAGTTGTCCTATAATCCTCCATACATGAACCATGGTACCAGCAGCCACACACATAATATGCATACATGCATACACATTTGCAAAAGAAAAAAAAATAAGCCATGCATAGTGGCACATGCTTTTAATCTCAGCACTCAGGAGGCTGAGAGATAGGCAGTCTGAACCAGTTTGAGGCCAGCTTGGTCTATATTCCAGGCCAGCCAATGCTACCGAGTGGGACCTTGTCTATTTGTGTTTTTGTTTTTGAGACAGGGTTTCTCTGTGTAATAGCTCTGACTGTCTTGGTACCTGCTTTGTAGACCAGGCTGGCTTCGAACTCACAGAGATCACATGCTTCTGCCTCCCGAGTGCTGGGATTAAAGGCATGCACCACCACTGCCCGGCTGGGATCTTGTCTCAAAACAACAAATAAAATAGTTGGGCATGGAGGCACATGGCTTTAATCCCAGCACTGGGGAGGTAGAGGCAGGTGGATCTCTGTGAGTTTGAGGCCAGCCTGGTCTACATACCAAGTTCCAGGATAGCCAGAATTACACAAAAATACCTTGTCTCAAATAAACAAGTAAATAAGGTGAAAAGTGATCAAGGAAAGTACCTAAGGTTGACCTCTGGCCTCCACATATGTGTACAAGGGAAGCACACTCTTACATACCACAACACACACACACACACACACACACACACACACACACACACACACACACACAGTTCGAAGAGTGAAGGAAACTGCATCAGAATGATTAGCAGACAACTCACACCATATCCCCAAGAGAAGTCAGAGCTGCCTTCTGTAGAGATCCCTGTGCCTGCATAGCTTGGAAAAGCAGAACGCGAATTCCCGGTGTCAGTTGATGTAAAAGGTGATTCTTGGGTGATGTCAGACTCACTAAATGGTTAATTTGAGAGAAAGGGAGAAAAAAAGAAAATTCTTATGTTTCCTCAGCAACTTATCAGGTAGTAAGCATGTATACAATACATCTCTAGAGACAAAAAGGAACTTGGAATTCAAGCACTGTGGAAAACCTACCTAATCTCTATAAATGATGGCAGCTGTGCTGAATAATGCACGTCAGTTCGTGATGGACTTGTATCCACCTGTAACGTGCACTCTTACCCACTGGAGATGCCATTTCCGAATGGCAACAGAAGGTCTGAACTTCTTTAGTACCTGTAATTCCTCAAGTACATTCACAGATACCCACCTCAGTTAACCTTGCCACTCTAACTGCTGCTGCCGTTCTAATGAACTCGCTTCAAAATTCACGGAATCTCAGTTTCATTTCCAGGTTTGAAACTAGATGTTGACTTTACAATTTTTTCTATGACAGCACTGTCCTTCAGAGCTCTTGGAAGCTGGGCTCTTAACTCTTTCTTAGTAACTGCAGTTATTGTTTACTCAGGATTCATATACGACATTGTGTGCAGGTTTACATACTTTATCTGATTTATATTTACAGGACCATGTAAGAGATGTTGACAATGTCATTTTTCTTGATCAAAACAACTAAAGATTTGTCAGTTTTACTGACTAGTTTCCAAAGAACCAACTTCTGATTGTCAATTTTCTATTTCATTATCCATTAACTCATCTGCCCAATGTTAATCTAATAAATGGCTGTACTAGAATTAAAACCATGTATCTGATCCCTTTTGAATCTAATTACTTAACAACTACATATTACTTCTGTGGGGCTGGAGAGATCTCTCTGAAATTAAGCGCGTGTACTTAACAGCACTCATGTTAGGCAGTTCACACGGAGACCTAACCTCTAGCCTCTGTTGGAACCTGCAGTCATTTGTACAAACTCACACATACACATACGTAATTTAAAAAATTTCATACTGCTACTTCTGGAACGTTATGAAAGTAAGTGTGATATTGTTTCCAACAGCTGTTCCAGAATGAAAATTAAATGGTCCTGAGGGGGAAAAATGTACACACACACACACACACACACACACACACACACACACACACAGAGGCTGGCTTTGCAAGCCTGAGCTCCAGCAAGCCTCCTGCCTCAGGCTCTCATAAAGATAAAAATTCTTGTTTTGTTTCACTAGCATGGGCGTGGTCCTAATGAACAGAATCCTTGCCACTAGCAAGTGTAATAAGCAAGCAAGCACGCCTTGTATTAGTACCTTTGAGAACTTGTATCTTTTTCGTGGCTGTCATTGGTAGAGGAAATGTCATCCAGTTGCTCTGGAAGGGGATGATGGTTAAGAGCGTGCTTTGTTATTCCTTTCCTGTGAAGAGAAAACAGTCTTCTCTTTATAGTTCGTATTTCCTATAAAGCCATTGGCTTACAATTATTTATTATTCTCTGTGTGTATGTGCAAGTGAGGAGTGGGACCAGCTTGGGAGGGTTGGTTCTTTCCTTCCACCGTGTGAGTCCCAGGAAGTGAACTCTCTTGTTAGCCTTGGTAGCAGGTGCTTTCACATGTGGAGCCATCTTGTCAGCCCCTAGTAAAAATACTTATTTTTGAAAACTTACGTGTATGTGTTTGTGCCTGTGTGAGTTGTGGGCATGTGGTGCACACAGGATGTCGGATCTCCTGGAACTTGAGTTACAGGCAACTGTGAACCCCCTGATATGGGTGCTGGGAACTAAACTCAGGTCCTCTGCAAGAACAGTAAGTACTCTTCTGAGCCATCGCTCCAGATCCCCAATATACTTTGTAACCATGTCCACCATTAGAGAGAGGAAAAAATTAAAGTGAACATTCCACTAACTGGGGTCTTAGCTTTGTGTACAAATATGGCACAATTCACTAAAATCTCAAACTATTCATTTCCTCTGAGAAGCCTTGGAGCCAGATCACCTAGATTTGAACACTGACTTTATCATTTACTAATCACAAGCAGTTGTTTAATCCTGTGCTTTAGGTGAAATACGTGTATTAGTGATTTATGAAGTGCATTTGCACATTAAAGGCCCTGGGAAGACTTTCTATAAAGAAATTTGTAAAAAACTCTAACCTACCACATCTTCTGAATGTATCTGACTAGAGAATTTCATGGGGAAATGATGCCTACTGCAGATAATTAGTTCCGGAAGACGTAATAACCGACATAGTCTATTTATTTCAGTGGACAAGTCCAACAGAAAATAGATTCCAGAGGAGCAGTGTCCAACAGAAATATGACAAAAAAAAACCCCTCACCATGAATGTCAGTTTACATTTTCAGGCAGTCACATTAAAAAAAAAAAGCAAGCCATCACACCTGGCTTATATGCTTATGATTGAACTTTTTATTTAAAAATGGCAAGCCAAGGTTGGAAATGTAGCTAAGCAATAGAGCTGCCTAGCATATGTGAGGCACTAAGTTCAATTCCCAGCACCAAAAATAAGGGGGTGAGGGTGGGAGGCCGTATGTATGTATGTATAGACTTCTGCTAAACGCTTTCTAACACCTACAATTAGTAACTGTTTGAAAAGGCTACTGCTTCAAAATGGGTATCACTATAACATCTAAAGTAAAAAATTCCTTTTAATTTACTATCATTTATATGCACTTAATCCTTGTTCTTCACTCCTATGATTCCTTTTGGAAAGGTTACTCTTAGGAACTATCAAAACGGCACCAAGAACAAGAACTACACAGGCTCAGCCATTTCAGCTCAGAAAATGCCTAGGTAGAGTTTTTTTCATACAAAATGTATTTTCAAGTTCTCTGGTTAGAATTAATTATAAAAACAAATTTGAGGTTGATGAGACGGCTCAGTGGGTAGAGGTCCTTGCCACAAAGCCTCATGACCTAAGTTCAATACCCAAGACTCACAACATGGAAGAAGTGACTTTTGTAAGCTGTCTTCTGACCTCTAAATGTGTGGTATGGTGCATGCGCACATACACACACTAAACGGAATTTTTAAAATTAAAAGCAGATTTTAAGTCAAATCCTTTTGGGCAATGACTGCTTCTTAGTCTTCTTCTCTAAAGAGCTTATTGCCTGATCTGCTGTTGTGTAGATAACATATTCCTTAGTAGATAACATGCTGGCAAAAAGGAAGGAGAGGTTCTTTCCTTTGTATGGCTCTTGCACCAAGTAAACGTGGGAAGAGGCAAGGAGAGAATTACCACTTACTGAGGACCTACTGTCGGGGCCATGCAAGGGGACCAACAGGTGCATTGGAGCTCATGGAACACAGCTGGGCAGTTGGCAAAGCCATGCCTGAGTGAGCCTTGGAGAGGCAAAGCCCCGAGGACCTACGTGCCCTGAGGACCTCATGCTGTTATTGAGCACAGTTCTGATTGCTACCTTCTCAGTCACCACATCCCTCATAATCTATGGGTTGCAGGAAAACTCTCAGGGAGTTTCTAGCCTCTCACTGGGCTTTGTTACTAGTACTAGTAGTGATTGACTTTTTCTAAGCATTGCTGCTAGAGCAGATTAATGATGCAGCCACCACCCTTAGAAAGGATTTAGTCATGTAGATTGTTAGTAAGGTTGGGTTAGAATGTTTTTTGTTAATGGCTTTGAGGTAGAAAATCTTGGGGAACAATTTAAAGTTTATAAAGACACACTTTTAATAGTTGAACAAGGGACTCGCTGAGGTCAGGGAACAGGAACAATGGTAGCCTGGCTATTGCTGGCTGATGTACCTTTCTTGCTAGGATGGGTTGGTGATCAAGCGTGATGTTTAATTCCTTGTGCCCGTTTCTGCCCTCAGCTTCTTGATATAAAAAACTGTTGGTGAGTGGGTATGCACCTCGAGGAGTTAAAGTTTGTTTTTCATATATAAAAGTTTAGGTTTGTGATTCTTTTAAGATTTTTTTTAAGATTACCTTTTGAGATAAATAATAAAGTGATTGATTCTTTCTTTGTAACCACAAAATGTAGCCAGCCAGCAAAACAACTGGCTGAGAAAATACCTTACTTGCTTACACCCTGTTAATCTATAACAAGTTGCTTGGGTATTAATGTATGTAGGTTCTTAGGACAATTTATTTTTTACTTGTAATATGTAAAATGTTTAATCATGTAAGGGATATGGAAAACACACTGTGGTTTTTTTTACTTGTATTCATTGCAATCATTCACTTAAAAAATAGAATGTAACCACATTGCAATTTTTATATTGCTTGAAAAATTTTGCTGGGGTATATAAGCTGTAAGGGAAAAAATAAAGTTAGTTAGAAGAAAAACATAAGAATAGACAGAGGGAAACATCAGGGTAGAAGAAGAGAAAAGAAAAAGAATTGAGTAAAACAAGCAACAATAAAAATAAAACGAAGAATAAAGTTTTGGCCCTCAGAAAAGTCCTCATGTGTCTGTCTGTCTGTCCAGTAGTTCAGTGCTCCGCATCTCCTCCTCAGTTTCTCTGACCTGTGAAGGCTTGCCATTCATCAGCACCCTGGGTCAGATCCTGACATGTTGGAGGTGTGTGTGTCCCTTTTTCGCCGGCCCCAGAGAGTTCAGTTTTGCCCCCCTTGCTGGCCCTAGAGAATTAAATTTTACTTCCTTAGACAGAAAAGTCAATTGAGTGATTAGTTCATCGACTCTGTGGATCCCCTCAATCCCTGAGCTGCTAAAGGCTGGTTCTCACGGTAACAATAACCTACTATGTGCCAGCTCTATGCTATCATTTAGGTACGCTTGTAGATATTATTTGTATATATAGACAGGAAGGCCCATATTTAGTAACCTGACTAAAAGCTGCATAGCAAGAAAAGTACCCATCCAAAATCTCAGGTGTGACTTTAATAAATGTTATTAACATGCATAGCTAATATTTAGTAAGTGTATGGCTGCTGAAATTACTTAGTTCAGTGAGGAGTAACAATGGGACTTGCCTTTTTAAAAGTTCAGACTCTATTGGCTTATGACGTGGAAACTTTCTAATTTCATCTGAGAAATAGAAGCTAGTTATAGCCATCTTTCAGAATTGTTGGAAGAATCAAGAAACTGAAGGTTCTTTTGAAATCACAACATGCCAGTAAACGTAAGGCATTATCATTATCTGCCAAGTTACAACACTTTACTAAGGGTACAAAGTGTGTCTTTAGCTAAAGTGCTTGCTTTTTAGTCCACAAACAAAACTGATCCTTATTTGCTGGGGGTGTGAAGGCAGTGTGTGTGTAAAGTCTTGACAACAGGCTTTAATTGGATTGACACCTGGTTTGTACTTCTCAGCCGCACCATCTTCTAGATACAATCTTTAGATCTGTGATCTTTATCTGTGGGATGTGCAGAGTCCGGCTCCTAGTTTTGCTAATGCATTCAAGCAAACAGCTTTGCATAGTGTTTGGAACGAGACACGTTCAACTTTATTGTAGCATTCAGCTATTATCTTCAGTGGGGCCAGAAGCACTGTGGGAACAGTAAGTGCTTCTGGAGATCCACTCCCTCAAGTCATGTAGTAACAGCCCACAAGACAGTCTTAGGATAGCATGGATGACACTCTCAGCAGCTGGTGACCCAAGGACAAGAGACAGCTTCCACCAGGGCTGGGAGTAGAGAATTAGCATACTATTTTCTCGCCTGAGCCCTGGGAAAGGAAGGGAGAGAAGGACTGATCAAGGATGGTCCCTAGAGCTCTCGCGGCCCAGGTTGGGCGAGCTGAGCAATCCACTCACAGCTCCACGCTCTGTGGCACGGCCTTCCGAGTGTATCTGGAGATCATCCTCCGTTTTCTCCTCCGCGGCCCGGGCGGGCAAGCCAGGGCGGGGGTTTCGGGGCCTGGCCCTCCCGCCGGCTCCGGCCCGGCCCCCTCCTGCCACCTACCGGCCCCGTCTCGCCCCGTCTCGCCCCGTCGCCTAGATTCCGGACCGCCACCTCCCAGAGTTCCCTCTCTATAGTCTTCCGACCTGCCTCCTTCCTCTCCTGAGCGGAAGTGACGGAGGAAAACGGCATCGTCCAGAAACTGGCACCGATGTGCATCAGTGGCTACACCCGAGGTTCCGTAGCCTCACGGCTTCCAGGTTTTCAGGAGCGGCTCAGAGGCCAAGCCGAGAGGACCTACCGTGGACTGGGCTTGAGCGGTTGATGGTATCTTCAGATCAAGTGTCCCGGTGGAAGAGGCGGCCAAGGAAAGGTGCCAGAGCAGAGGCCCACGAGAGAAGGCCTGCAACCGTGAAAGGCATTGCTTCACCTTTGTCAGGTGGAAGATGGGAGTCTAGTTTGATGAAAGAGCACTAGACCGCGCCAGGCCGGTGCTCCTGGGTCGCTTCTTTCTGTGGTCTCAGGTTTGTCATTTGTATTGTGAATCTTTAACTCGAATGACCCCAAGTTCAATTCTGACTCTGTAAATGCTGCATAAGGAGTCCTGCTTGGGTGTAGAGGGAGGGTGGGTAGGATTTTTACTCAACCCTTCGGGTCGAAAGGCAGCATGCTTCTTTCTAATTTAACGTGGTGAGCAGGTAGTTGCATAGAAGATACAGGTTCCTTATTGGTCCTTTGCAAAGCCAAGTAAGCTTAAGAATCAAATCGCTGCCTTAGGTGGGCATCCGGAACCATGGCAAATTATTGTGGGACCAAATGGTAACACACAAATGTTTGTAGGTTTAAATCTTCTGTAGACTTAAATTCTGTAAAGCAAGGGACGTTGCTTTTATTATTATTATCATTATTATTATTATTATTATTATTATTATTATTATTATTATTATTATTTTGTTTTTGCTTTTCGATACAGGGTTTTTCTGTGTAGCCCTGGCTGTCCTAGAACTAGCTCTATAGACCAGGCTGGCCTCGAACTCACAGAGATCCACCTGCCTCTGCCTCCCAAGTGCTGGGATTAAAGGTGTGCACCACCACCGCCCGGCGAAACATAGCTTTTTAACGCATTTGATAACACAGTTTTAAAGTAACGAGGTGTTTTACAGATGGAGTGTAACACTTCCATTCCACAATTAATGAGAAAACTTAAGAAAGACAGTAAAGTGCCCAAAATATGCAATAGAAGCACAGTTGGAAGTTTTGAGAAAAAAATAGTGGATGGTAATGTAATATTTTCAGACTGTGCTACACACACTGCTACTAATTTAAGGGCAACACTTTTAATTTGTTTGTGGGACACGGCCTTGCTTTGTTTCCTAGGCTAGCCTTGAACTCCTGGACCCAAGTGACCCTCTTGCCTCAGGCTCTCAGCTGAGACCGTAGACACACCTGTTGCACTTAGATATTTTTAATTTTTATTCTTACATACTTGTTTAGTAATTGGGAAGTGCATTGTTGGATCTCCATTCACTATAATATCAAGGTTTCCATGTAACGTAATTTAAGTATAAGGAACATGGTTGTAAGTATCAATGTCATTCAGAGAATAATAAGTCAAGTGGTGTCTGATGAAGGCCAAGACCGTGATGATGGTAAGTAGGTGCGTATCAAAGTTTTGGGAGATAATGCAATTCTCTAGAAGAGTTTTGGGGATGTTGTTATTTCTCCTTTGATGTGGCTTATGTCACTGAAACTTTGAATGTCATTTTCAAAGAATGGAGGGCAACATGAAGCTGGCAATGGTAGAAGACGCTGTGGAGTACTGCCTGTTTTTGATACCAGATAAAGCAAGAGACACAGAGGAAACCAAAGAGATTCTTCAGAAGTACATTGAAAGAATAATGACCCAGTTTGCACCTATCCTGGTCCCTTATATCTGGCAGAATCAGCCTTTCAATCTCACATATAAACCTGCAAAAGGTAGAGTAATCCTTTCATTTAGTGTTGAATAAGAGAAATTTACACCCACAACTTTTAAAATCAGTGATGTTTGCCCATATCCGTGTAAGCCCCTAAACTGAAATATATACCACATAGGTCAGAATGTGGGGATTGTGGCTGTTGTTCTGAACTTTAGTTACGATGCTGTAATGTAACTGCCTGTGCTGCACAGGTCCGGGCTTACCCTGTTTCTTCAGTCATGGTTCCCTTTCACTGGTCAGTGCTTATCTTGATGATGTCTTTAGTGGGTTGCTTTGTTTCATGTAGTTGTTTGCTGAGAATCAAAGAGTGACTTTATCTGGCTCATAGAGATTATGAAATGGGTTTTGTCACTATCACTTGCCATCCAGAAGCATCCTGAATGTCCTTTACTGCTTACATGTGTTGACTTCAGTCAACTCTAGCAAAATACAGTAATCTGTTCCGCCATGTCTTCTAACTTTATGAAAATGATTAATAGATAGCTGGCCCAGGCTGTGTTTACACAGTGACTTGTGTAGGGTCTATTTAGGGTCAGGAGCCTGGTATCTTTTGTTCCTGCCATTCTGGCTCATAGTTTAGTGCTAATCTGTTATATTTGGCTAGCAACTGCTAAATTTCTCCTTTGCTCTTAATTTTACTGAGCTTTTTCCAGCACTGGGCATTGAACCTGGGGCCTTGTGCATTGCTAAACAACTGGTCTACCACTGAGCTATTTCTCCAACCCTAATTTTGTTGAACTCTTATTTTCTAGAGTACATGTGATGTTTATCGACAAGGAGACTAGCAAATTAGTATGCCACATCTAAAACCAACCCTTTAGCCAGATATCATAGCACCAGTGTTCTTAATACTCTGAAGGCTGAAGCAGAAGAATCACCAGCCTGGGGCCAGCCTGGGCCACAGAGGAAGACCCAGTTTTACAGCAAAAGCAACCTATTAACTTTTAGAAATGCTTCCCCTGTGTTTTCTTACTTATGCAGTGGCATTACCGACTAGTTACCCAAGCTAGTGAGTACTTCACCTTATCCTCTTCACTTTGCTATGTTCAGTCAGGCAGGAAGGCCTAGCATGAGCACTGCCAAAATATCCCTTTTCACAGCTGTTTGATCTCAGTGTGGCTACTCTTTTATTCTTTCATCCGGGGAACTACAGTTCCTAACTTACCTCTCTAGTTCCAGTCTCTTGAGCTCCTCACGCTGTTGGCAGTACCTTTGTAGAACACAGATTGGATGGTGTCACCTCCTGGCTTAATCTCCTTCATTTTCTTCTTGCTATAGGGGAAGGTTTCAGTTGATGTCTGATGTGTAACGTAAATAAAAATTGTACTCTAAGCATAGGAATAATATAAATGATAAAAAGTAATGAAATAAAGATCATAGTGCTCTACTCTAACTGGAAAGATAAGCGTGATTTGGACTGAGCAGAGGAGTTGAGCATTGAGCAGGCCTCTCACCTCACCTGGTTTTTGGCTGGGATTGCTCTGGTAGACCCTGTGTAACATTTGTTTGACCTTCATTCTGTTAATGTGGTACATTGCATTGATTGATTTCTTAAATTTTTATCTATTTTATGTGCATGGGTGTTTGCCTGCATGCATGTCTGTGCACCATGTTCATTCAGTGCTCTTGGAAGTCAAAGGAGGACATCAGATCCTTGGAACTGGAGCTCCAGAGGATTGTGAGCCACCATATGGGTGCTAGAAATTGAAACCGGGTCCTCTGGAAGAGCAGCCAGTGCTCTTAACCAGTGAGCCATCTCTCCAGCCCCATATTGATTGATTTTTGTATGTTGGACCATCTTTGTAGACATAAATCCCACTGGATTGTGGTTATTATAACCCTTTCAATGTGTTGTTGAATTTGGTTAATCAGCTTTTCATTGTTGTGACAAAAATACCTGAGAAAAATCAACTTAAGAGGATTCATTTTAGCTTATGGTTTCGGACTGATCACTTGGAAATGCTGTGTAACTCAGCCTGGCCTCAAACTCTTGATCCTCCTGCCTCAGCCTCCCCAGTGCTAGGATTACAAGTGTGTGCCACTATGCTCAGCTGTTAAAGGATTTTGATTACTGAGTCAATATCCTTCCTAGCTATAGGTCTGATAGTATTTTCTACTTCTTCATGATTGAGTCAAGACCTTAATTATTAATTTATCCATTTCTTATATGTTTCCCAATTTTTGGTGTAAGGCATTCATAGATTCCCTTATAATTGTTTTTTTTTTTCTATAGAAAGAGTCTACTGTTTGTAGAAAGAGTATACTGTCCCTGCTTTCTGTCTGAGTTCAGTAGTCCCTTCTTACTCTCATTTAATCTTGTTAATGATCTATCAGTTTTGCTGACCTCTCCCCGATTTAAAAAACAAAACAAAACACCCTGTTGTTTCATGGATCTCTGCTGTAATTGTCTTGTTTCCCCTGCTAGATCTATGTGTTGTTTTCTTGTTTCTCTGCTGTCTTACAGTGTAAAGTTAGCATGCTGCTGTGAGATTTTACATAACTGTAAACGGTTGCTGTCACTATTCTTGCTCAATTTTATGAAATTTCATATGTAGTGCTTTCATTTTCATTTGTCCCAAGATATTTTTTCACTTCTGTAATTTCCTTTTTGACTCTTGTTTGTGTAAGAGTGTGATGTTTAGCTTCTATATACTTACGTATGTTCTGCAATTCCAAAAGCAGAATCTCTTATATCCCCATGATACTCCCTTATCTACTATAACTCTGTGCCTTTGGCCATGCTGTCCCTTCTTCCTGAAAAGTCCAGCTCTGGTCATTCTGCAGCTGTCACTCCTGCAGACAACAAACCTTTACGTTCACACAACCTTTAGTGTGCTTTCAAAGACGGTTTGGTTGTCTGTTCCTTGTTTCAGGCCCAAGCTCCTAAGAAATACACATTCCATATCTTATTCAGAATTGCAGCCCCAGCTCCCAGAGTAATTCCTGGAACTCAGCCAGTGGCTGGTAATTGAATGCTTTCGTGTATTTTTCCTGCACTGTCAGACTTGCCTGGTTTATGATCACTTCTCTCTTGTTTATAGGAGGTGTTCCTGCTCATATGTATGGCATGACGAAGTTTGGAGATAATATCGAGGATGAATGGTTTATTGTTTATGTAATAAAGCAGATTACAAAGGCATTTCCAG